CTTCGCTCGTCCCCTACCGTTTCGCGAATCTATAAAGGCCAGCTGTAGCCAACAGCAATAGAATTATAATTCGAATTAATTATTCGAATAGATAAATAAATTCGAAGAGAAGAAAAGCTGACCCGCGTTACTCATATTAGTTTTAGGGAGTTATGTTATGAAGCTATTTCTGTAAATGGGGTATACTGCACTAAAAAAAAAATACAATAAGAATCAGTAGTTCTGGACATTAGCACGCCAAAAAAATAAACTCTTCAACTTAATAATATTAGCATTTTAATTTAATTAGCAGGCCGTATTAACTTTGTTAATATTAAAAAAAAATTGATAATGTTAAAAAAACATTAAGAGGTTCAATCATATCCTTAACAAAAACTTTAAAAAGAATTTGAAGTCAAATAATTGGTATAAAAGTTATAATAGTACTACTGTAAGAAAATAACCTCTGTAGTCGCTTATTATATATGTACATTACTTAACATTTAGGTGATACATCACCTAAATTAGGCAACTATAACAGTAATATTTGTATGTTGAGTAATAATAAATTTAAAAAATATTTAAAACTAAAAAAGTTTATAATTAAGAATCGGAATATATTAAATAAGCGTTGCAAAAAGGGACAATTATTGAAAAAAAACACTTTGAATAATTTAAAATTGCACATTAATAAGTGTCTACGGATTAATGTAAAGTAAATCGTGAATGAAATGTTTGCTTTAACAAGATAATGAATGGAAGACCTGCTGGTCTACACTGGAAATTTCTATTAAATGACTTTGTAATGTGTTAAGCCTTTTTGTACTGTTTAATTATACAGTAGCACGTATTTGTAAAGTTTTGTTTTATATATAGAATTATATGTAAAATATTTCGTATGGATGATAATGAAATGGTGCACACTTGCACACACTTGCGCTAACGGTATACGCTGGCGGAGCACCAGTGAAGGATAAGATGAGTATGAGGTCAGGTCAGTTAGCCTATCATGGTAAATTCACCATGAATTTGTCACGATGGTTTCAAGGGGGTTAATTATACAATTATTTTTAGAAAAGTATAATGGATTGGTCAACTTGAAAGAGAGCAATGTGGTTAATTTAAATTCACAATTACTAACAATCCCCTTATTAAAGTAAAGGAACGTGCTGACATTGCCTATTAAATATTGTATTAATACTAGCAGCACTAGTGGTGAGAAATATTTTAAAAAAAGTATTGAAAAAAAATTATTGCCTTAAAACGGTCCGAACACTACATTATAAGTTTATTTCAGTCGTTTGATTTATGCTACTTTCATGAGAACTGTTTCTTCCCAATGCCACACAAAAACCGGCAAGTTGTTACAGAAAAATTCATAATAAATAAATCATACAATAGTTCAAAAAGACTTGTTAAGAACGTTAAAAATAAATTGGATTTGCGTCACTATCCTAATTGAAGGCTAATAAAAGTAACGAGCTGTCTGGTGGAGTTTACTACATATTAATTAATTCTATTCTATTCTATTTAGTAGTCTCTGAAAGAACTATCTGATATTATTATCAACTAGCTGCCTGGGCAACTTCGTTTATATCATACGTACCCATTTTACATAATATTGTCTTAAATTAGCCTATGTATTATTCTGATGTCTAAGCTATATTATTGTAAATTTTCATCAAAATCGGTTCAGTAGTTTTTGCATGAAAGAGTAACAATCATCATACAACCATCCATACCTACAAACTTTCGCTTTTATAGCATTAGTAAGGAATATTCAGTTTAGTCTTCATAACATTTTAGTCGTCATAACAGTATAAAAATGTATTGCATTTAAATGGATGGTAAGATTAAATTTTACCTGCCGTATGGTACTCACTACCTGTGTGAGGAGTTGGCTTGTTTGCGTATACTCACACGGAAACTCTTGACCTGAATGTACTGAAGTATGTTACACAAGATGAACGTTACTGGAACCCTACTTTGCTGAAGGACTACTCCTGTAAATGTTTGTAGAGCTAAAAAGGTCTACTAACAAAGTTTCTTAAGATCTGAATCTAGTGTCAAAAATTTGTTGCAGGATTTTTTATAAACATAAAAAAGTTGTCTAATAGGATATAGAAAAGACAAACCGCAATGAACTTAATGGTAAGCAATAATCACATTATCAAGTGACAAATTATACCACTCATGTTGCTATTCAAGAGAATTACGATGTCATGTCTCTAATCTTGTAATTTCACTGCCTAATTTGACTCTACTACGGAAAAACAGCTTACAAAACAAGCTGCTAAGTTGTTGTGTTACAGTGAGATACCCATGCAGAGCATTTTCTACAAAATACCTACTGGAATGTTAAAAAAGCTGTTGGGTTTCTGAAAAGTAAATAACAGTTGTCTACTCTTATATACAGAAGATCGACATCATATGATGATGTGACGTCAGTGGTGTTGTTAATGTATGTGACAGTCCACTTACAGTGGTGTTTGGTCTTCCAGTTACATAAAAAAAAAGACTAAAAAATTGTATACTGTGATACTGTTGATTTTTCATAAAGATATACATTCTTTCATACTGATGTTAATGTAAATATTGCAAAACATATTTTCTTGTGTAATCAACATATTTTCGATATTTTATGTTTGTTTTCAACAATTCTGTTTATTTTTGGTGGGAAAAGCGTTAGGCCATAAAACTGTTCTATTTTTAAATCGGTCGAGTTTACTTCCAACAGAGAATTGGGCAAAATGTTTATCTACCAATTATTTCGTGGTTTCCAAATTGTTTAGAAGTTTCTAGAGTTGCTATTAGGACTTTGATTTATGCCACTTTTGTGTAGAAAGGAATGTATACATGTTATTTTGTTTTTAATAGTTTACGTGTATTGTGCATAAGTATAGAGAATTAATAGTTATTTATTCTTGTAGAATTATCTGTGTAAACTTATGACAAGTAAAGTCAGGTTTATATGGAATGTCCAAAAAAATAGTCTACGGTTATTATGTAAAGCAGTTGCAAATGATTCTACTTTGACAATTTTACGACTATATAGGAATCATGTGACAATTGTAGTCATGGTTGGCGCCTCAATCTCGAATGCTTTTATTAAATAGCATTAGAATATGATACCGATTTGTATGAAATCTTGTGTGCATATTTCAATCGGTTCCTGAATGGTTTAAAAACGCAATCTGTATTGTATTTTAATTGGTTGACTGACCACTGTATTTACTAATTGTGTATATACTAATAGTGCATTAGATATGTATGCCTCTTACGTAAATAAAAATTTTATCTAATGATCTCTCTGTTACGATACGATACACTCCACATAATTATACCCAAATAATATTACGTATGTATATTACATATATTTGTATATATTATTTTGTATTTTATAAATAGGTATTGGATAGTATGAATAGAAATTCTTAACATAAATACCCATGCTTTGTATCGAATTTAGTATTCAACGGAGTTCGATAATGTGAATTATTTACGGGTTGGTGGGTGTTGAGCCTTGAAAGGGCGTCCTAAATAGGAACGGAGTAAATAAATCAAGGACGCGGATGACGCAGGACGATACAGTAAATCATACATCACATGATTAGTATCAATTATTTTTATGTTACTTACAAAATAATGCGGTTACTTTCAGTCATTTCACATAGTGCTTTGATTTGATAATTTGTTGTAATCTTATCTTAATAACATCATAAACGCGAAAGTTTGTATGTATAAATGTTTGTTACACTTTCACGCAAAACCGGAATTTGGTGAAACTTTACAGTAAGCTTATGCATCAGAATAATACTTTATAATGGGCTTTATATTTTTTAATAAAATTTAACGTCGGTGAAATGCGGGCACAGCTAGTACAAAATAATGTGGTTACCATCTTAGTATTCTAGTATTTTTTTATGAATGGCAATGGCCTACCATTGCTAATATCTAAATATATATAACTCAAAGGTGACTGACGTAGTGATCTATCAACGCACAGCCCAAACTACTGGACGAATCGGGCTGAAATTTGGCATGCAGGTAGATGTTATGACGTAAGCATCCGCTAAGAAAGGATTTTGATTAATTCTATCCCAAAGGGGATAAAATAGGGATTGAAAGCTTGTATGAAACTTTGTCAATTTTAAACCGATCGGGCTGAGACTTTGCATGCATAAAGCTACTATGACGTAGGCATCCCCTAAGAAAGGATTTTGATAAAGTCCACCCCTAAAGGATAAATTAACGCATGTTTTTTGCTACATTTTCACGACTAAACGGATGAAGGGATATTAAAGTTTGACGTGAAGTTAGTTTGATGAAGATTATAATGATAATTGCTCACGATAATTAACATAAGAACGGACATATGTTTATTACCTCAAAAATAACAGGTATGAAAAAGATTCATAAAGATGAAGTGATGATGCTAGTCCAATATATCACGTATGATGTTAACAACTATATTGACTTCGATTTCAATTATTTTATACAGTAAGGCTGGAATACAAATGATCCATGTAAGATATATTCTAGAAGCCGTTCGAGGGATGAAACGAAACTCTGCGTTTTAAATTATTCAGTACAGTACTACCGTCTTTGCTCTTATTAAAATTTCACACGTGAAATTTGATTATACGTCTACTGAATCCCATATTCACAGCGACTAATTTCCCTTTAAACTTAGTAAACTTATACATATAAATAACTAGCAATTACCCGCGACATCGTCTGTTGTCGCCATACAATTTATCTTCACATTAAAGTTTATTAAGATCCTTCGATAGGATCTGGATAAAATTTAATGGTTGGTTTTAATAACGATTAATCATTATTATTTATTTTATTATTATTTGCAAATACTAAACAGTTTTGCTATGTCTGAGAACAGCTTAAAAGTATATATAGTACATAAGTACACATACATACATAAGTATATAGTTAACCACATATTGCTTATTAAGAATAATTGGCAATAAACTACAATATAACATATTACAAAATATTAAAAATACCTGTGATTCGTAAGCACACTAAACATCCGTTGCGAGGAGTTGGGGGGCAGAGAAGCAGGCGGCAGCTGTCGACCAGGCCCCTGGAGCACACGGATGCCCATACGCACAGTACTACGCCGGGACACCTTCTCATCAGCTCGTTCTGCTGTGATCAAATGTATTGTAGTCAATATCTACACATATAATAAAACTGTAATTGACGCATGTTTTCATATGTAAATATATGACTAAAACAATTTTTTATTTATTCCATTTATTGATATCACAACTAAGCGAGCTTTGCAGTTTACCAAAATATGGTCACTTTGGAAATTATACATTAATATAGTATATTGATAATTTAAAGAAAATTACAAAAATTAATAGATGTGACAAAATGTATGGACGGACTTTATTAACAATTATTATTTCTTTGCTTTGGTATGCGATAATAACTACATGATTTGTATACAGTTTTCACTAATCTATTGTTGTAAGCTTCACATCCAATTTTGTGTGTTTTATTCCAATCAGTTTACAATAAAAAATGATCTACGTATGCGTGAGAAGGCGCGAGTCGAAATAGTTTATCAATAAATGCAACAATAATATCCTTTTCGATCTATTATCTCAGACTCACGGATTAGTCAGAGGCATTGTTAAATGTGGACGTCATCCACATGATTGCTCTAACGGTATACACTGGCAGGACACCAAGGAGGATAATGAGATGAAGATGCAGTTAGTTCCGTCTACCCACCATACTGAATTAAACCACTACTATTACAAGAGGGTGGTCAACCGGTCCCAATATAAACTGGTACATTGTTAGCAACGCTTGCTATATTAGAATCCAATCAATCCATTGCAATGTTTTTTACATTCTTTTTTTCCGTTTCTACCTTTAATTAACGCGTATTGATTGAATATTACCATAATGTTTCTCTTACAGCTTTTGTTTTTGAGTTAGTTCAACTTAGATTTACGTTTTTAATTGGACACTGAAATATATTTTGTTGTTGTTTTAGATATAGCTTCGTCAACAAGATGTTGTGCAATTAATTCTGATTGTTTTTGCTATATTTGTGGTGAATATGTATTTGTAAATATTGAAAACCTGTATCGGACTTTATGAAAACTGCTTCAAAATGATAAAACTGTGTATATCAAAAATTGAAACTATTAATCAATCAATCTCCCAGTATTTTCTTCATACTCAGAGCCATAAGAGTATCCAAAATCAGAAAAGAAGTGAAAGAAACAAGACTTGTAGGAAATAAAGTTTTTTTTGGTGTCGACGACATTCGAAGTCATGTCCTTTGGATCTAAGTCGGGTTCATAATTCTTTGAATATCGACGCTCTTATAAATAAATTCCTGATCGGAAATTGGAATGCAACCAGAAAACTGTTGGCAGCTGTAAATGATTTGTAGTTGTTTATGCAACTAACTGTCAAGCTAAATACTATTTTCATTGAAAGCCAACAGTAATGTGACTGCGACATTGGATAATTAGTAATGCATTTAGTCCTTGACCTTCAATCTACTGCCATTTTCTGTATAACTGATATATTTCCGAAATAGATTTAGTACAAAGTTATCTTTCGTCATGGGTATCTTTGTCTCACATATTTTAACTGCTTGAATAAAAGAATGAATGAATGAATGAAACTCTTTATTGTTCCCCTCACAGAAAATACAGTTACATACATAATCTATTTACATAACTCAAAGGTGACTGACATAGTCATCTATCGACGCACAGCCCAAACCCCTGGACGGATCGGGCTGAAATTTGGCATGCAGATAGATGTTATGACGTAAGTATCCGCTAAGAAAGGATTTTGATTAACTCTACCCCTAAGGGGATAAAATAGGGGATGAAAGCTTGTATGAAACTTTGTCAAATTTAAACCAATTGGGCTGAGACTTTGCATGCATAAAGCTACTATGACGTAGGCATCTTCTAAGAATGGATTTTGATAAATTCCAGCCCTAAGGGATAAATTAACGCGAGCGAAGCCGCGGGCAAAAGCTAATTATGTATAAAATGATAAAAAAACAATAATAAACAAGACAAAGTAGTAACAACGGGCGGCCTTTTTGGCAAAAAGCGATCTCTTCCATGCAACCTTAGGATAGAGAGAAGTGTTTAGATTTGCGCATAGTAGAGGTATAATGGTAACAGTATTGGAAATTTTTTTATTAATATATGCTTGCTTGCTTTATTAGTTGTGTTTCTGTTTGAAGGCAGTGTGTAGCAATAACACTACATTATCTGCCAACTAAGGCCTGTTTACCTCTCCGCTTTACTTCCGATGGTCATGATTGCGATTCCACGGTGAAAACATGTATGGACCTGCATGATTGTTTGTATCGATCTGTGTGTTTTTATGTATATTATATATGTATTTACAAAAAAAATGTATCTGTGACTTTGTATCAGTTGTCTACCCAGAACACAAGCTCTGCTTAGATTGGGATTAGATGGCGCTCTGTGAATTGTCCTGAAATATTATTATTATGTATATATCTACAAAAATAACTCTTGTTTAATACTCATAACAGAAGCTTGCTTATATAAAACCCGTAACAACCATTCCGGACGAATAAGATGTTGTGTCTCTATTAGTTTATAAATGATACAGATAATTAATTTAGTAATATTTTATAATAATTTGTTTAAATATTATTATACGTACCAACAAAAGCTCGAACATCATAGGAAGTCCCAATGGGTGCTCCGCTGTACTGCTTTGCTGGTACTAACTGCACGCTGGGTGGCGCCAGTGGAGTTAGTTCCAAATGAAACGGATAGGTGTTCGGTCCCAGCCGCTTTATAAGAGCATCCTAGAAAATAAATATAATTGTAGTATTGGGCCTTGATAGTTTGGCGATTTAGCACACTGCCGTACTTCCGATGGCCGCTGGTTCGATTCCTTGCACGGTACAAACGTTTGTATTCTTGTTTATATTTGTTTGGTCTATGACTATTTACGTATATTATGTAAGTATTAAAAATATGTATTATTGTATTCTTATGGCAAAAACATTTAGATTTGCATTGATTAAAAAAAAGTATTTCTGTAAGTTGTTTAGTGCCCATAACACAAGATTTTCTTATCTTAGGAATAGATGATGCTGTGTGATTGATTCAGGGCATTTATTTCGTTCTTTTCATTTATTTTACTAACCAACAGCGAAATAATATATAATAATAATTGATATGTTAAGAGTGAGGTTAATTAAATGTATTCATATCATCATCATTACTGTTATACATATACATACACCATTACGAATGTTATCCCAAAGTCCCGGTAGTATAATATATGTGACATTATCAGCTTTTCAGGTCGTGTTAAACGTAAAACTTTATATACAGACATTTTGCTCGATATATTTGAATTCAACGTATCGTACCATTATTTCGTATCAATTTCATCATTATCTCTCTTTCCAAATATAAGTTGGAAACGTACATTGACAAAAACAATATTTTGGTGCTCTGCAGATTTGAACTTTAGGGTCTAAGAAGGGAAACTAGAATACTATTTAGCAACGAGGCTTTTAACTTTAATGTATTTAATTGAAATGAGATATAATGGTATCAACACTAATAAACAGGCCCTAGGTAAGACATTTTTTTATACTACGATGGTGGCAAATGAGCATATGGCCTATCTGATGGGAAATGGTTACCGTAACATATGAACGCCTAAAACGTGTTACGTGCGCGTTGCCAACTCTAGATATTGAATAAATATGTACTAATTAAAAATATTATTGTAAAACATTTACGACAATATACTTTTAATTAGTTATTCAGCGTTTTGTTATATTAATTTACTATATAATTAGATATTGAATTCATGTTTAAGTAGAAACTGTTAATTAACTGCCAACATCTTAACTATAATTAACTAGACGCCTGAAATACTGTACAAAGGTTCTTATCATGGTTACATTAATGTGAAATCTCTGAGTACGATGAATAACTTTTCCAGTAAAACATAAATTACAGAAACTGTTTCGTAATAGGTACTGTAGCACGTCCTAGATACCTTTATATATTTCATTTCATTATGAATATCTTTATAAATACCTTTTATTATATTTCTCATTATATTTCTATTGCAAAATTATTATTGTAATTATTATTATGCTTTTAATTATTTCTCGGCCTCGGAGGTATAGCGATTTAACACACCGCTTTACTTCCGATTTCGCGGGTTCGATTCCTCGCACAGTACAAACATTTATATTCATGAATATAATTGTTTGTATCGATCTGGGTGTTTTCTATGTATATTATGTACATATTTAAAAAAAAATTTAAGTATTTATATCAGTTGTCCAGCAAGCATAACACAAGCTCTCCTTACAGTGGAATTGTATGTGTTAATTGTCCAGGATTATTTATTTATTATCATTATTATTATTTCTAAATTTTCTATCGTTTTCCTCGAAAACATCTATCTTCATATATTCATATATAGAGAATAAACCTCAATGGATTATTCTCTATAACAAGAGGTATGCTCTAAAAAGTTGTCTACATGAGCACCTCTATCTCACCTATTTCAGCTGCCAACTTGGGATGTAAGCTGTCGAACTGTTTCGGTTGTATGGTTGTAATCTGCAATTAGGCTGTAAAATTACAGTTTAAAAGCTTGACATATTAGTCCTCTTAAATGGAAAAGCATCACGTGATAACGTGATATCCGTACTCGTGTTCGTGTCCGTATACGATACAATAGGTGACGGTTACCGATTACCGTCAGTTAGCCGTGTGCTAGTTTGTCATTACAATTAATTTACAAAAAATTCTGTATGTTTATTATGTTTATGTTATTATATATTCTATAAATTTGCACTAATATCCAGGATTCTTTCTTAGCAGCTATCAGCATGCCTTTGTGTTGATTTCATACCAATTTGTAACACGATTGATGCATGTTTTTATTTTTATTTTAATATGAACACTGTTACTTTATTAAAGCAATAAGAAAGTTGAGAGTCTTCTCAACCTAGTAAAGATAAACTTTATCACACTAGATAGCAAGCAGAACTTAGAACACTTTCTTAATATAAGTTTTTACTGCCACTATTACAGTAAAGATAGTAATACAGAAGTAAGGATACGATAGTCAGTAAAGTACGTAAAACTGTAGTAACAAGTTTTATAGGTTTGCGTATAACTTACTATATTATAATGAAATTTATTTCAATATATATACATATTATCAGAATTTAATATCAGTTAATCAATTATATTCATCAACCTTTTGCGTGGATCTGAATGTTGGGCCGTTAGTGGGATGTATAAAAGGTGTGTGAATGTGACAGAAATGCGATTGTTGAGATGGATGTGTGGAATAACCAAGAATGACAGAATAAATAAAGTGTACATACGAGGAAGTTTAAAAGTTGCGCCAGTTATTATTATTATTACAAGGTAATAAAATGACTTGCTATGGGCATGTTAAGCGAAGGAGCGAGATTCATTTCTTAAAGAAAGTGATTTTCATTTAACCTGAACGTGGATGGATGGAAAGGGAGAAGATGATGATATAATGCGTCGAACTTAAACAATGGGATAAAAGCCAATTATGTTAGAAAGGAGCCTTACGTAGATAGAAGTGGTAGATATTTAGTACGTATTTTTACTTACCTGAAGTTGAGTGTTAGGTTCCCGTTCGTGGTTGCAGTGTATAGGCCATATTTGTGCCAAACTCATTATAGCTTCGTTGCAGAATTTGAGTCCCATAACCTCTTCGTCTTCACGGCCATATCTGGGAAAAATATGTATTGATAAATCCACATTGTTCATTTGGTATGATGCCAAATGTTATAGGAAAAGGAAACTGTCCCCAATTCTGATTAGACATTTAATACATATGTATATTCCGCTATATGGGATAGTGAAATGAAATATCTATGGATGTTTATATTCATACTAATATATAAAGCAAGAGATTGTTTGTTTGAACGTTAACACGAAAAGTTTAACAACTCAGAAACTACCGGTGCGAATTGAATAAATATTTGACTATTGATAGCCCATTTATCAAGGAAGAGGGTATATAACATCTCGTTGCAACCAATAAGAGGGGGGAAGCATTGAAGAATGTTGCAAAAATGGGAAGAACGTGACACACACGATGTTACGTGGGTCAACTAGTAGATAATAAATGATCAATATAATATATATTCGATAGATAGAATAAAGATATAAACGTCTGGGAAAAATACACAGCGCCAAATTAAGTAGAAATTATGGACAGTATATTTTCAGTTGCACTGCAATGAAAACGTGTGAGTAAATATTCCTTTTTTGATAACTCTGTTTACCAATATTTTTCTCTGTACTACCTACGTAAACATTCTAAAATACGTTACATATTGTTAGCTTCAATACCTAAAGAACACTCGGTTGACTAATTTGTTACTTACATTTCATTCATTAAAAGCCATAGTAAGTCACGTGAAGTTGGTGGCGTCACGATTATGCCGCCACCAATAGGAATAGAGATAAAGAGGCCGGGAACAAGGAAGGAGCGGGCTGCTCTCTTTGTTCGAGGCGACCGAGACGACCAGTCGTGAATGTACAGCGACGCAATTTATGTGGAGTGTAATTTGAAGAAAGGAATAAACTAAATGTACTACTGTATCGACATATCATTTCTGAAACTTCCCAATAGTTTCAGAATTGGGATCAACAAGATCTATATTGGATTCTTGCCACGCCTACAAATGCAAGTAACATTTTTATTTTCTTTCTCCATAAGAAAAGAAATGGTTAGAATTTATTGTACACTGAATTCAATAGTGACGCCACGGAATGTTCGAGAAGTGAAAAAACAAATGTATAACAGCAAAACGAAATAATATCAATGTTCCATGCGTGACGTTCCAAATATGACTTTTATAATTTTATTTTTAAATTCATTATTTGGCTATTTGCGATTGCATGATATAGTATCAGTTTATGGACGTACAGGGATGGTTACGTTTGGATCTTACCAGGGCTATTCTATGGCATGCAAATGCGTTGTACCGTAAATCTCAATTCTAAAAAGTTATGCACTCTAAATCATAATTTATACTTTCGGGTCAAGTGAACCAGCCTGAAAATAAAGTATATTTTTTTTTAAAGAGCCTTCTTAGTAATGATATTTGTGAAAACCGCTAGAAACATACGGCAAATACTCGTAGATGGACTACCCTATAGCATTATACAATCGTCCTTTAATATTGTGAATATCTTAAAGATGGTACACAATGGGAAACTTTATGACGGTAGGTTGCGTTCTTTACTTTTGGAACAGTAATTTTATAGTGTTGATAAATTTATTAGTAGTAAAAACTGTACAAATGCTAACACATTGTAATATGTTATTAAATAAATAAAATAATAATAACGTCTAAGATGCGGCGATGGCCGGTTCCGACAGGATACCAGGACTCCCTGGAAAGTAGTTCGCCCGCCATCATGCGGGTTGTGGTAATTGAATATATACATATATGAAATATATATCGCGGTGTCTTGTAATGGGCACAATGGATTTTGTTAATATCAATAGAAGCAATAATAATGTTTATAAATTTTAAGGTACAAAAATAATAAGAAGTACCTGTTGAACGCGATTAGAATTGATATGATAGGATAACGATTGTGTGGCTTTAACACACTGTTCATTCCATCAACCGAACTATCATATTGTTATTCCTCCTTAATATTTAATTCACTTTCTCATTGATGTGTTCGTAATTTTATACAGTTAACATACGTGATATAATTTGTTAAAACATTTAAAAATATATATAAATTCGAATATGTCTATGCCCTTAAAGATAGGATTCTTGCGAGTCATTGCCTCTCAAATGATTTGGCCGTGCTTTTCGAGAACAAGCTAAACTTTCGGGACCATATGACAACATTGTCAAGTGCAGTTATCGTTTTACTGTCGTCATTACTACATCTACCACACATATTCGGCAGCATTCTTCCGATAAAGTTTATTTGCATTTACTACACACGCGACGCTATATTGAATATAATTCAGATATGGAGCTATATTATTGTATGGTACACATATAATTCAAAATGTTCAGACATTGATTAAAGACTGGGATATATATCTGGGATTGCCAATTTGCAGATTACAATATATGTATATGTGGAATGTTTCAATTTGAGCCTTTTATGTAAAAGACAACATAAACTACCAAAAATTATTAATTGCGTTGCAGTACTCCTATATTATTTATTTTCCATATACATTTGATTATTTAACGTTATTTACCGTATTGAATGTAAGTTCTAGGTATATTGTGGTATGGGTCTACAATCCAGTATTATACTAATTGCAGGCTTTTGGAAAATTCTTGTAATGGTAGTAATTTTATTTTGTGTGCAAATAAATAAATAAATTATTGACACACTAAACGGCAATAGAAAATATTTGTGTACGAAATAGACCGTGATTTGTCAATATAACAGTCTGTGATTCATTACTTAATAGGCCTATATTATTTTGTGTATAATTTTGCTATTTGAGCATGTTTGAGACCACGTATGTTGAAAATGGAAGTCTGATCACTGCTACTGGGAGCGTTACGACCTTCTTTATTAGTGATGGAATTTAGACGGATCGACTCGAAAGTCTTGTGTTAGACTATTCTGCGAGTAAACTGCGACAATAGAAGTTTTGTTATATAGTTTTATATTTCAAATTAAAAAAATGCATCAATCCATTGGGCGTAGTAACAACGTCCAATTAGATGGCACAAATATTATTAGTGTATATATCTCTTAGTGCTGGTATTACTTTGAATATGGACTTAACTAAATTAAATGGAATATGGACGAAATAATTCCTCAAACATAATTACAGTTTGTATCAAAATTGATGTATTACTATGCAATATATATTTTAAACATACTTATGGTATATTCAATTGGACCGTTATATTGTGTACTGGTATATTGTATAGACTTTTGCTATTGCTACCATATGAGTTTTCATAAATAATGTTTAACTGCATAGTAGACCCGCTAAAACGAAGAGGAAGACTGGTTCATACTTAAGTGGTTATATATGTGTATATTGTATGCGAAACAGTGTATAATGGATTAAACTTTTAAGTTTCAGTGATGGAACAAGACGAATTGTCCATTGGAAAATCCAAGCAAATCGATGAGGTAGTTGGTGGATACGATAATGACCCAGGAGAGCCCAGGTGACAGGGACAGGGTCCAGGTGATCAGGGTTGACCCAGGAGTACCAAAGCGAAAGGGCCAGGGTACCCAGGAGTGCCCAGGCGAGAGGGCCAGGGTTGACCCAGGAGTGCCGAGGCGGGAGGCCTAGATTTTACCCAGGAGTGCCCAGGTGATTAAAGGGTCCTAGTAAAGGAGTAATCGTGTAGCCTCATGGTCCTATTTTGTATCGGCGAAGTACATCGCCGTTGGGCAGCGCTGCGATGAACCGAAGGAAGGCGTAGCTAAAGAAACCACGGCATCAAATCCAGCTCGTCATTTAAAAGTTACGTTCACCAGGTACTCAGTCATTGCATATGCATAAACAAGTAATATTATAATATAAATTACAATATTTTAATACAAACCCTGGTTAAAGGGTATATGTACTAATATATAAAGGGTTAGTAGATAGATAACCTATTCTATGTTAATATCACAAAAACAAATCTATTTGTTATATTTACGACAACTTGGGTGTTAACCAAATTGAACAAGACAAGTCCTCTGTAGAATTTGTTTAGCGCTTGCAGTAGGTATGTTACGAATACGTTACTGAATAATATCTTCTTGTAATTAATAATTGGATTGGGAGGACAATCTTTTAGTAGCGAAACTGTCCTACGGTTAACTGTTAATAACCGGAAATTGACTATTAATGTTTTGTAATACCTAAGCTGTTACACTGAACTTGAGTGACGTGTAATGTATGTGGTTTATAATGATATGATCATTCTTAAACAAAGACGGGATTATTTAAATAATTTCTATAAACCATATACCCTATACCTATAATTGTAATAAATTGTTTTAATGTTGGTAAAGAGAGTCGTCGTGATATCAATGGTTACCATTAGTTTTCAATATTTTTTTGGATCTCGTTTAAATCATTAAATGAATTATTATCACATTCTAAGTTACTACAGAAATAATTAAACAAAGCACATGAATAATCGATTGTAATATCGATCTGTTGAATCTGACTTAAACTACCTAAATTACTGATTTTTCTTATTATAAAATGAAACACCGCTGAATCTAGGAAACTGTATTAAACAAAAGTACAATTAGCGCCATCTAGCGAAAAAACACAGAATTATTCCCGACAGTATGATTTCGTAAATATTTTTATTCAAATGTCATATCTCGAAACTAAAATTGACTAGTTACTCATAAGTATCAGCTGTAATAGGAATATTATCTAAGTTACTAGGTCTCACCACTTAAATAGTTATTTAAGTAAAGCAACGTTTACGCGCTGCTTATATTCTGCCATACCTTTAAGTCCTTTTAAGTTAGAAATAATCCCTTAAATGGAAATCTATTCATTATTTTTTACCGTAGAACAAAAAAAAAAATATTTGCAATATTTTCCACTGTTCGTGCTATTAGTAATCTGGAATTTTATTTTGCCAATTTTGAGGAAATTACCATTCATAAACATTCTTCAGTTTGAATAAATATCTTAAATGACATAAATACTAAGTTGTACCTATCTCGCGGATTTTCAGACGACTTTCGATATATTATAGA